TAGGTAACAAGTTCAAATTTGTCTCATCCATCCTCATTCCATAACCTCCAAAAACCTCCCAAAACATTTCTTTTATTATGATAATCAGCCAATTAATATATTAATTGCTAATTGAATCACCAAATAACACCCCATTCCTTATATATATGACCCTATTTCTTCTAAAAAGCTAAGTCTAAAACTCTTGCAAAAACTCCCAAAAACTCTCCAAATACTTTTTTCTCTAAATTCTAATTTTGGCATCGGAGGTTCTTCGGCCAAACCCCCCCCCCAAAAATCATCGTGGGCACGTGAGGCTCTTGGCCTTGACCTAAGGTGTTAATTGTTTTGTAGGTGCAATTTTGTCCAAGAAGAAGAAGGCGGAAATTTGCATCCACAAATTGGTGTTTTCATTGAGAGTTGAAATCCATACTCGTAGAAGACTCTCGCATAAAAAGGTTTTTTCTCTATTTTCTAGTCCATTTGAATATTTTTCATACCTTCTTATTATTAGAATTTTTTATTTGCAAAGGTTCTTTGATAAAACGTATAAGAAAAATATAATGGCTAGAAATTTAGAAAATTCCAATAATCAAGAAATGGGATCGCAGAGATCTATGAGGCAAAATGCGGTCGTAAGCAGAGTGGCACCATTACTACAAGGTTCCACCATGGCCTAAGCCATGCCATGCCATCCAAGCTTGCACAGGCTTGAGCCCACGCATTAAGCAGCCCAAGCCTCATATTCTCATGCACCACGTATTAAGCAGCCCAAGCCTCATATTCTCATGCACCACGCATTAAGCAGTCTTCTCCCGTGACCTAGCCTGCTCCCGTAATCCAACCCTGCCTGCTCCCGCAGCCCTACCTCCCATGGTTTCCCAAGCAGCTCAAGTTGGCCCAAGAATATCTCAACTATCCGGAGCAACCATCGAGCCGCGAGAATTTTCACCATATTTCTCCACGGAGTTGACATTTCCCAACTCAAATCTCATACCTGGAGTCTACCATACTTCCACTGCTCAATGAGGCACATTCCTTCCAAGCTCTTCCAATTTAAATGGCGAACAACACTTGTCTCGACAAGTCATAGAGTTGACGACCGCCCTTGCACAACAGACAACTTTGGTGAATCAACTTTTGCAGCGCACCGAGATCTAACGTGCCCCGGACGAGGTATCCTAAAGTAGGACAAGGGCAGATGAACCTTTCTAGCAGCGTCCCGGTAAACAGCCATTTGACCAACCACGAGTCGAGCGTTCGGGAAATGTACATTCCCGATTAGGCCCCCGAGATAGCATATACTCTGGTTTAAAACGCGGATGAGCATGCACTCTCGACTAGGCCCGAGGATAAATATACATTCATGGTTGGGGCCACACTCCGATAATCAACATAAGCAGCCTTCCAGGCAAAGCATTCATTCATGGCTAGGCCCGGAAGAAGTATTCTCGACATCACATCGGAGTAGGCAGCACAGCGGACGGAAAGAAGTAGTCATTCAATCCGGCTTAAGTTCAACCAGGAGCCTGTGAGTTACACACTCGCCTGCTAAGAACATACCACACCCACCGCAACCGCGGCATAGATGAGCCGAACATATGGAAAAACAACTTAGACCAGCATATCACGATCAAGGGCAGCCGAGAGCTTTGCCACCCCAATAAAGGAAAATTCAGGAAGAAGTGGAAAGGCTCTTGACCAAGCAATTGTGTAATTTCTCGTGCCAACCAAACCTTAAAAGGGCACAAGAAGAAACACCTAATGATGGCACAATAATTCAGGGAGCAGCTCATTGCACTTACAACCTTACGTGGGTTCCACAAGCAGTTTGAAGTTTCAAGCAGTTCGCCAAACAAGACCTCGCAGCCTGAGGATTATTTCAGTTGTTTAGCAGTCCAGCTTTCCTCAGCTGCACTCACGACAACGACTTCCATGCTTTCCAGTGTAAGAAGATAAACTAATTGCTCTCCAGTGCGAGATGGTAAACCAATTCCCCGACACCTAAAAGGGTCTGCTCTCCAATGTGAGAGAATAAACTAATTGCTCTCCAGTGCGAGAGGGTAAACTAATTGCTCTCCAGCGCGAAAGGGTAAACTAATTGCTCTCCAGTGCAAGAGGGTAAACTAATTCCCCGACACCCATCTGGGTAAGCTCTCCAGTGCGAGAAGGCCACATAGTTCAAAAGATCGAATGCTTGAAAATCAATTAAGCAACAAATGTTGAAAAATCAAACTCAAGCAGTTTCCTTATTTTAAGCAGGCAGCCCAAACAATTGCCTATCCCATGCCACTTCCTCACCCTATGTCGAACCAATCCTTGGCTACAATCAAGACGAGCTGCTCAAGCAAAGGCCCCTGCCATATCACCTTCTTGGCCTATGCCAAGCCGACTCCTGTCCTGTGCCAGCCGACGTGCCGTACCACCCCAACGACTACCCCGTGGCAGCACCACCTAAGAAGAAGACAAGAAGAAATTAAGTTTTTATTACATTGGTGCGGCACGGAAAAGATGAAGAAAGCTACAAAAGACGGTCCTTTGCATGGGAAAAATGTAGAAGATTGCTAGAGGAAGGGGAACAAATATCCTCTAAACTCTCTTTCTTGTAGGGTAGAATAAATCACTCTCCAAAGTTGATTTAATAACCCACTTAAGGTGGACTTAAATAGGCTTTGAGAGAAATTTATTTCCTTTTCTTAGAATGATCTAATTTCATATTAAATAGGGAATCTACATCAAAACAGGAAGCAGTCCTAAGTTTCCTAGAGCAAGAAGATCTATACACCTACTACACTTTCCTACGAGCAACCCAGAAAGTGTGAAGGGCATTTGTGGAGCCAAAAATAATCATAAAGTGACACGTCGATTTTTGGGTGAAGATGACAAATTTACCCTTGAGGCATACCGAGTCTCCTACACGCGAGCAATGGAGAATCATCCATCAACCAAATCAAGAGTACCCAAAATAGGTAACAAGTTCAAATTTGTCTCATCCATCATCATTCCATAACCTCCAAAAACCTCCCAAAACATTTCTTTTATTATGATAATTAGCCAAGTAATATATTTATACCTAATTAATATATTAATTGCTAATTGAATCACCAAATAACACCTCATTCCCTATATATATGACCCTATTTTGTCTAAAAGGCTAAGTCTAAAACTCTTGCAAAAACTCCCAAAAACTCTCCAAATATTTTTCTCTCTAAATTCTAACTTTGGCATCGGAGGTTCTTCGGCCAAAACCCCCCCCCAAAAAAATTCATCATGGGCGCGTGAGGCTCTTGGCCTTGACCTAAGGTGTTAATTATTTTGTAGGTGCAATTTTGTCCAAGAAGAAGAAGGCGAAAGTTTGCATCCACAAATATGTTGCTACTGGAAGCTGTTGCACTCAATTAATGTGGATGAAGCAAATGCTCAGTGACTATGGTATCTCTCAATCCACCTTTCTTGTTTATTGTGACAATATGAGTGCTATTGATATTTCCAAGAACCTTATCCAACATTCAAGAACCAAACATATTGATATAAGGCATCATTTCATTAGAGATCTTATGGAAGGTAAAATTCTTACCTTAATCTTTGTGCCAAATGAAAATCAGCTAGCTAACATCTTCACTAAAGCCCTAGATAATCGAAGGTACGAAGATCTTCGACGGTCTATTGGTCCTTGTGATATGAATTGAATAGGTTGTATAACCTTGCTTCCAAGAGTTGAATATTTTGTTTAACTTTTGTGCATGTTTTTGTGCAGATAGTTACCTCATCAGATAATCTCATTTTGCTCTTTGTATGCAACTCTTACATGTCATACATTGATAGTATTATGTGGATTAGCCTTGGATAATTTTTCATTGTGATGTCAAAGGTTCTCCCAATTCTCTCAGATGGCCACTGAAAAATTATTTTTCCAATCATCCAAATCAAGTGGCATTTTTGAATTTAATGTTGCTTTGGTCCTAATTGAGTGGTAATGACTTTACTTACTCTATAATATGGACCATGTGTCAATTCTTTTTTTTTTTTTTTTTTTTTTTGTCCTCTCCCCAAATTCAAAACAGAAATTCACATGGAAGAGTGTTATACGAAATGGGTATCTTCAAAAGAAAGTATATATTATCATATTATCAAATGGGAAAATCCTTTTATTTTGGTCTTCCACGCAATGTCATGTGAAGTGCTTCAAGATCCACCTCCTTAGGTCATGTATCAATTTCTTTGAAATATCAATGGTGATTCATCAAAATTTCAACTTCATTCAAATAACCTTGGCACTTCTCAAATTAGTGCCTCACTCAAAGTTCCTTCACCAAAGTTGGATTTTCTTTCAAGGCTTGTGCCTTGCTTTTTGCGAGTCTTGTCCATTGTCGATATTATGTAGGAAGTCTTGTCCATTGCCCTTTGACAACTGTATCAGCCTCGATACTGATCGCCAAAGGCATGCCTACGAATACATATGGCTTTCTTCTAACCTGTAAATTGGACACGTATTGAGCACTTCCCACATCATTTTACTTACATTAAAGATTAGAAATAACTTCGAGCCATTACCAGGAACTATTCCAGGGATGTTTTTACATATAATAGGTTCATGAAAAAATAGCACTTGTAAAATAAAGCATTACATTTCAATTAGAAATTGTTCAAACAGTTAGGTAATCTTTCAGATGCTAACTTAAGTTGTAACTTATTAACGAAAACGAGTAAATCACAACATTGACAACAAATGACATAAACATAGAATTTACAAATTACTTACTTTCTTGGACTGCTTATTTACTTTTCTTTCTTCCTGCTTCGTATGATTCTCTATGGCCCCAAGAAAATAACCTACTCTCTTGCTTCTTCGCAAACCTTTCTCTGTATGGATGTCATCAGAATGCCCCACTTCATCTTCTACCTTTAAACTACACCCCATTCTCACTTTTCTTAGAGGCCCGCTTTCCATTTTCTCCTCCGTCCTGCTCTGATTTCTACTCATCATTCACCATTCCTTTCCAAACAGTCCTTCCCTTTTCCTCTACAAATTTCACCTTTTTCTGACCACCCCGTGCTTCTTCACAAAAGCACCGCCATTGTCTCTGCATTCATCAATGCTTTCTTCCTCATCCTTCTCCAATTAATCCACCACCAAATTTCTGCTTCTCTTGCTAATTGAGTCACCAGTGCCATTAAAGAATAAATAAACAAAACCAAGCCAGCATACTTCTTTGACTAGCTCCAATTAAAAAAAAAAAAAATCCTCCAACAATATTAGCAATTAGTGATGAAATTGAACATAGAAAAGACAAAAAAAAAAAAAAAAACCCTAAACAATGGGAGAACTAATGGAGAATAGATAAGACTCGAATTTCCGGAAAAATGATGGAACAACACCAAGGAAAAACAAATTAGAAGATAATTCCTTAAATAATCTTACCGAATGAGAAGGGATGAGGTTGAATTCGAATTTCTAGCAGCAAAAAGAAAAAACTGAGAGATGACAAAAAATATTAGGGTTAGGGAAAGGGGAGATTTGAGAGAGGAACAAGAAACCTAAATGCTTAGCCAAAGTTTAGCGTGCAGAAAATAATGAAATTTAATAGTTATTGCGAGGGCTGCATCACGCGTCTTAAAAAAAGTGCCGCAATTACCATATTTTCTTGTAGTCTATTTCATCAATAAAGTCTAAACTTGAAAGCAAGCAAATAAACGGGGAAACAAAACAGAAAGTACAGAAAGCACTTTAAGTTCAAGGATTACAAAATAAGTATGCTTATGTACAAATAAACTAAATAGGACTATGTTCAAAACTACAAAGATATTGAATTATTTTGTCCCATAATTTCACAAAAACCGTCACCTACCTCCCATTTCCAAATCCATTCTTCCAACCAAATAAATGAAACCATATCTTCAGATATATCTTCATTTGTTGTGAGGCAAGGTTATTTGTCCTTCATTGTGATTGAATACTGATTGGCAAAGATCATGGTACCATTGTAGCATAAGTTGACTTTTGAAAACTCTAATTCAGTAAGATATAATGCTTTGGTGGGACAACATTTTGAGTTAATGGTGATTTGGTGTATATCTTAATTAACTATAAATTAACTATATATGGTGTTTTAGATAGACTTGGTATTCGTGTCATGTTTCCCGTGTTCGTGTCATACCCGATATCTTAACGGGTCGTGTCGTGAAACACCCGTTAAAATAAACGGGTAAAATGACCCGACCCGAAATCGACCCGATAATATTAACGGGTAATATGACCCGACCCGTTACCCATTAAGGAAAATATAATTTAAACCAATAAATAATTAAATAAAAAACATAATACTTTTTTTGAGTGAAAAAAAAGGTTGAACCCACAATTGCTTGATTAGAACCAAAACACAAATCAATCTTCTAACCGTGCAAGAATGGTATTGCAGGCCACCGACGAAGATTACTCTTGCTATGTGCCATCAGAATTACCAAAGCACCATAGCAATGATGGTGAGTTCTATGGCGTAGGAAGCTTTGTGCGGAAAAAAAGGGTTTAGGAAGCAGTAAGTGAATGAAAGAAAAAAGGCGCGACAATAAAAATAAGAGCATAAATTATCTACTGTCAAAGGAATGCATGTGGCCCAGTTATTTGATTGGTGCAATTGACATGAGGATATATATATGATTGCCATGCCTATAGGCACTGACAATAAAGGAGATCATATGAGACTATATGATTATGCAAGGGATCCCATTGCCCACCTTATTGCGAGTGTGATGCCATACACAATGGACATAACCTAGACTTTCTAGAGTCTGCTAGAGCCAATATGTGTACACCAATTTAATTCACACACATACCCCTGCTTCCAAATAGTCATATTATTTGTTGGTATGGTCTATAACGATAGATAATACATATCATATTGTCACATCCAAAACCAAAACATAAAAAAGCATTTTTCGTTTTAAGTATATATTTACATATCCAAAATAAGAGCATAATAAAAAAAACATTAGAACATTACAAAAAATCAAATGTTCAAAAGATTTGCAAAATTAAGGACATTGGAACATTAGAACATCTTGCACATTTTCTTCCAATCAAACCCTTCAATTTTCCTCAATCACCATGGGAAAAAAGAATTGGAATTTTGGCTTGATATATTATCTTCAAGAGTTATATTGAGGATGTTTTCATTGAGGCTTTCCACATTAGCACTCTCTTCCGCATAAACTAAACATAGAAAAATCAAACATTGTATGTAAACCATTCAAATTATGGGTACTAAAAATAATTATGAAAAGAAATAAAAAATAGTTTTATATTATAAAAACGATATACTACCTCCTCTTCCAAAAAGCCAATCTCGTGTACACAGCAAAGCTTGAACCGTGTCTGGCAACAATAAAGTACGATATTGATCTAGCACTTTACCCCCAATACTAAAAGCAGATTTTGAAGCAACAGTTGAAATAGGAATTGTTAGCACATCTCGTGCTAACTGAGAAAGTATTGGATAATGAAAACGCTCTATTTGACACCAAGAAAGAACCTCTATATCTTGTCTTCTATCTAGTCTTTTATCATCCAAATACTTCTGTAATTCACCTTTTTCAACTGAGTTTGGACCATTGTAATTATTATCAAAATCCTACATCATAAAAATAAAAATAAAAACAGAAACATCATAAAAATTATGCATAACCCAGTTTCTATAATATTAATAATTTTAAAGTACTATGTATAAAAAGGAAAATACAAACTTTATGTTACCTCAAAGAGAGCATCTCCACCTTCTGTTTGATGATTAGGCATTGAGTTCATTGGAATATTTGAATAATTAAGATGAGCAGATATTTCCGAGTACACATTAAAGAGAGCAATCAATGTGACATGAACATTTTTATATTCCATAAAATTCACGTCATGAAGCTTTGTGTAAGCCCAATCCACAAAATGTAGCTTATAACGAGGATCCAAGATGATTGCAATTGACATAATCAAACTGTAGTCTGACCAATACTTCTGAAACTTCATGTGCATATAATCCCCCATCTTATTCAGGAAACTATCACAATCATCAATGGCTGCCTTAATTTGAAGCTGAATTACGAACACTTTAGGGAAGAATAAATTTGATGTGGGGTACTTTGTCCCAGAGAATAAGCATGTAACATCATAAAAGTACCCCAAAAACTTCGAAATCTTCACCACTTTATCCCACTCTTCAGAAGAAGGACAACTTTCAAAATTTGAATCACTCAACCCTAAATTAATAAAAGCATATCGATAGAAAATGGCACTATCTAGCATAAGATAGGTTGAGTTCCATCTAGTAGGGATATCTTGTCTCAAACCTCTTTTACTATCCAATATCCCTACTTGCTTAACACATTCTTGAAACTTTAGTTTCCTAGCCTCAGAACCCTTTACATACTTGATGCATTCACGAATTTTTACCACCGAAGAATCAATTTCTTTAAGTCCATCTTGGACTATCAAATTCAAAATATGAGCACAACAACGCACATGAAAGAAGTCACCATTCATCAAGAGAAGATCTCTAATATTTAATTGATTCCTCAAAATGTTAACAAAACAAATATTTGAAGAAGCATTATCCAAAGTAATAGAAAATAACTTCTTCTCAATCCCCCACTCAGTTACCAACGCACTTATTTTCTCACATAATGCAACACCAGTATGTGGAGGAGGCATGTGACAAAAACTTATAATTCTTTATTCAATTTCCAATCCTTATCTACAAAGTGAGCAATAAGTGCAAGATACCCATCAGTGCACTGAGTTGACCATAAGTCTGATGTCAAACAAATTCTACCTTCAACCGAGCCTAACAAATTATGCAATGCTTGTTTTTCAGTTTTGAACATCCTCAACACACAAGCTTTGATAGTATTTCGACATGGTAGCTTAATATCAGGAGATACATATGCAAACAAAGCCTTGATTCCCTCATGTTCAACAAAATTAAAAGGAAGATTATGCTTGATGATTGCCTCTACTAATAAGCCACGGAATACCAGAGGATCAAACTTTTGGGAACACAATTCAGATGCCGACATAAACAATTCAACATTATTCTTTGCAGGGCATGTATTCAAATGTCTTTTCATATTTCATGTCCCATGATGACTATCATTACCTTCTTACAATCTTTGCATTGAGCACATCTTTTACTATCTTCAAAAATAGTATCCAATTTAGTGAAAGTGTTCCAAACAGGAGATCGAAGTTTTCGCTTACCTAAATTGATTGCTCTAGCCTTTTTCTTTGTAGAACTCGAATTTGTATTGTCTATACTTTCGCTTCCAAGATCTCATTATGTTCCCATTATAATCTCCACGGACTCCTCATTGTTTACTGAATCTAAATCTCTAGCATCCATTGCTTGTGAATCCAAATGGGTATAAATTAATTAATAGCTTTTTAAACTAGTAGGATATTACTAGTGGGTTGCAGACTTGTAGTACACACACACACACACACACACACAGCAATGAGCTGCAAACTTGCAGTACACACACACACACACAGAGTACACACACACACACAGACAGACAGACACAGCAGTGAGCTAGTTGTAAAGAATATAATTTACATATGAACCTACAAGAAATTTTGAAAATAATACTATTTTAATATATTGTTCAACCTCAAAAACATGTAGGTCCGTTCAAGATTGAAAATATAAAATGACGTTTAAATGATATACGAAGAGGTAGTGATTTTCACACTTTGTTCTTTTCATTCTGCATGTATTTCTCTTTTTTATCAGTTCTAAGACCGGAAAAAACAAGAAGCATGCATGGAGAGAAAGTGGCGAAAATATTTCCCAAAGTAAATAGTTGATGCAAATTAATATATAGACTTGATAATGTAGAATCCGATGAGAGAACACAGCTTCTTTGCCTTGGTTTTATGCATGGTTGTGGGTCTGTCAAGCACTAATAGCATACACACTGGGTTGTAGACTTGCAGTACACACACACAGAGACACACACACACACAAAGCATGATCTAGTAGTTTAGATGTTAGCTAGATATGCAAAAAAAAAACTAATTCATATAAAGGAGTGTTTCAAAAGGTTGTGGAAGAATAGACACAGATACACACAGCACACACAACACACACACAGAGCACATACACACAGACACAGAGAGCATAGACACAGACACATACACACACATAGCACACAACACACACACACACAGAGCACACAACACACACACACACACACACACAGCGCACACACACAGAGCACACACACACACACACACCAGATTTCATTCAAATATTGTTATCCAAGTTTTAGGTTTTAGATGTTTAATGCACAATTGAAAACAAAACAATCAAAATTGTATCAAGTGTAATCGGACATGAACGCATATCAAAACTAGGTGTTCAAAGCGAGGGAAAAATTGGGTGTCCAATCCCGATTCATAAAAAAAAAACAACAATAGATGATGATAGCGAATTTCTTACCTGGACAATGTAACACTGAAGAGATTAACAAGAGGAAGAGAGGAATCCAACACAAGAAGCTG